GGCCGTATGGTACGCCTATTTGCATCCAGCTCGTCATTGAAATACTGAATAATGGCTAGATATTGTCGGAAATGGATATGGTTTCCCCTCAAGTCACAGTCAATACATGGGTTTCTTTTCGACATTCTTAATTTGTCATTTATACCATCGACATCGGTTTACTTCGACTGGATACCCTTTGATCGACCAAATATGGAGATTCACTATATATGTTGGATTAATTGGTTGGGCAGGTGCGGTTGCCTATTCCAGGTCCGTGATGCACGTTGCTCTTGCCTCGGTGTACTCACACTGGTTTCTACAGATATCACCTCAATTATCACTCGCCCCCTCAAATTCTCTGGGGGTCTCACCATCGGAATATGCTTTGGCTTCACTCTTTACTATACATTCGAAGTGATTCCCAGACGTTATCCCACTTCACTATTCGCCCGAGTCAAGGCGTTCTTGATATCGAACCCAGTGTCTACGTGGCTTCAGATTCGTGACGGATGGGCGATTTGGCCAGATGGTGGTAGAGAGTCGGAGTGGGTAAGGTGGAGGAAAGAGTGGGAGAAGCAGACTCAGAATCAGAGTCAGGCGAAGAGTAAGCGGAAGTGATTGAACCTGTAGACGTTGCGTGTGTGTATGTATCTTCTCTAGTTCTATCAAGTCTTTCCCAGCAAAGTCAGACCCACTTGATCCTTGACCTGATGTGACGCGCGTTGTCAGATCGCTGCTTGAGTACGGAAGGCCAAGTGAAGTCGGCGATGTTAGTGGGGTAGATAAATGTCGGTAACGAACCGAGCAACATTAAATCGCATTTTTATGTGCCCCACTTGTACGCCTAGTGAGAGATGAATCGAAACGTAAACTGGGGGCGTATCAGACAGTGAAGAAACACGGTCACATGCCATTGGCAGCTCCATTGTTCGTATTTTCCCATCATGACCAAACTTCAACTTGTTATTCAACCATCATGTCTGCTCGTCCTCCGGCTACAGAAGACAAATATTCCTCATTGCAGAAGAAAGCAGATGAAATGGAGAAGGGAAAGAAAGCTGTGCGTGTCATTTCAGTTGATTTCCATCCGACTCTAAGTTGTTGCACAGGCTCAAGCTGAAACCGCTACCCTCAAATCTACACTTTCACAGACCAAATCTGAACTGAGGGATACCACAGTCAAGCTCCGGATGGCAGAGAAACAGCTAGCGTTGAAAGAAAAGCCACACAAAGCCGAGCTAGAGAAGGAGAAACGCAGGGTTCAAACATTGACAGAACAACTGCAGGGTGTGCAGGGGACGTTGAAACAACGAGATCTAGAGTTAACTGGCATGCAAGCGCTCAAAGAAGAGTTGGTTCGCGCGAGCGATAGGGAAGCTGCTCTACAGACGCAACTACAACAAACTCGAGCGGCGTTGGAATGCTCAGCACATGCTTATGCCACTCTTTCGTCGCACGTATGCTCGAAAGCTGAATACGACGATTTGAGGATGCGGAATGTACGGCTAGAAATGCGAAATGCGCGTCTGGAGAGGAAATTGGCCAACTCGGAAGCGCAAGCTAAAGAGCTAGTCTGGTTAGTTCGGAGAATGGGAGAGGAGAATAGTGAGCTGAGATGCGAGGTGGAAGAGTTGAAGGAAGAGGTTGGAATTGCTTGGGGAATGTGTGAAGAGCATCGGGTGCCCGAACGTGAGTCAAACGACGACGAAAGCGGGGTATATGGCATCGTGGAATTACAAAAGAACGACAACAATCTCCTCAAAGCCGAGCTGGATGTTATGGATGCATTGGTAACGCTAGAACGTGCTCATGGGGGCGAGCTACTCGACGCTTACGCAGACGCCAATGTCGAGATTGGCCAACGAAACATTGAACTAGACACAGCGCAGAAACTATTTGTGGCTACAACACATACTGTTGGCGAACTCGAGAGGTCGCTCGAGGAGTGGAAGGCGCAGGCGAAGTCGCTGGAGAATAGAATGCGCGACAAGCAGGGTGAACTCGAGAATGCAAAGGAGGCGAGTATTCGGTTCAAGATAGAGGCACAAAAGGGAAAGATGGTAGAAGAAGGTTTGAGGGCGGAAATCGAGCAGTAAGCACTTATTCTTTTGTTTGATTCTGGTGACTTATACATAAACACAGGCTTACAACTGAACTCATGGACGCCGAACGGTTCCAAGAGGCATATTACAGTCTACACGAGCAGGTTGAAACACTTGCTGCACGAAATGCACTGGCAGAAGATGAAGCTATGAAATTGAGTGCGTTAAATGCGGAGATACTGGGACATAGGAATCCTGCGCAGAGGATTATGTATGTGGAGAGGATTAGGGAGGAGCTGGCTGATACGAGACAGCGGCTAGTGGAGTGCACACGAGCGAACGAGGTAATGGTAGAGGAAAATGACGGTCTAAGGGAAGAGCTCAGTATGTATAAGAGCGTCAAGACCAGTATTACTCGAATTACAAGACAGCCATTGCGTACTTTACAGTAGTTCAATATACCCACAGCACTTTACTTGACTCTAAGGCCTGAACCGAGCCTGAGCTGGCATTTCTCAGCTTCACGTGGTCGTGTTCTCACTCTGCCATCTACCACCATGACCGCGCCCAAAAAAGACGCAGCAAGTACAAAAAAGGTAGCACGAAAAGGTTCGTAGCCTGGAGCATTGGTGGCAAATGTACATTGCAACTCACAGTTTGGCCATAGGACCACCTGCCATCATAAAATTCTACCTTGTCCTCTACAACATCCTCTCTGCAGCTGGCTGGGGCTATGTCCTCGTACACACCGTCATTCACATCCTTAACCTTGACGGAAAATCCAACGAAGCAACTCAACCTATACCAATCAAACTCTCGGCCCACTTCACACGTCTCTCTGTGTCAAACTATGACCGAGTGGGATACGCAACCGCCATCGTTCAAACATTTGCCTTGATGGAAGTTTTACATGCTCTCTTTGGCTGGGTTAGAAGCCCAATAGCCACCACAGCGATGCAAGTATCGAGTAGACTGTTTTTGGTTTGGGGTGTGGTGGAACAGTTCCCTGCAGTACGTGCCTCGTTCCTCGTTCTTTTTTGACCGTCGGACTCACGCTCTCTTTTCAGACCCACGAAAACCCTCTTTTTACTTCAATGGTCTTTGCATGGTCCTTCACGGAAGTGATACGTTACACATTCTATGCCTTGGCGCTCCTAGGATACGAGCCTAGTGCGTTGTTGTATCTCCGCTATACAACGTTCTATGTTTTGTACCCCCTCGGTGCTGGGTCGGAGGCGTTTTTGAACTTTTCCACTTTGCCCAAGTCAGAAGCATTGTCGACGTGGAACGTGTATGACCTTTTCAGAGCGACTCTCTTTGGGATTTGGTGGCCAGGTGCGTTAGATCGAACCTACTTCTTATGGAAGATGTGCTGAGACATGTCTGGTGCTAATAGGACTGTATATCATGTACACCCATATGATCAAGCAGAGGCGAAAGGTCTTTGGCGGCACAAAGACTGGGCTAAAGAAAGAGTAGATGCATTGTTGGTTTTGAATTAGATCCAATACAATTCTACAGGATACCATAATGCTGCTCTTATGAATACCTATAAAATTTTGGACAGCTTGCTGCTTGTGCTTGTGATTCCCTATGTCGTCGGAGATACGCAGATAAATTAGCGCTCGTGCAATCTCTCCTTGACACTAACCACGACCTCGACGCGTAAACGTGGACACCACGGCTCTCTCTTTTCATCATCCATTCAGTTCATACTCTAGAAGACAGTAATAAAGAGGTACATTTGGCCCTCGTTGTCGAATCGCTTGGGCCAATAGCAAGCGTCTTTTTGCAGTCTCGTTACCAGGAAAAGCTCGGACCTTTCTCATCAACTTAAAACCCTTAACTTTGTAGGTCTTTTTGAATGATGCCCTTCTCTCTTTACGCTCATGGCCACAGGAATCCCACATAACACGCGTTCGATGGGCCAGCAAAAGTTTTCGGCTGGAGCCTCACATCACGGGCGTCGTGTCGCGTTTATCCCGCACTACTATGAGAAGTGCTATGGAGTAGTGTCACAGAGCGACTCCTTGGATCGACCTACCAAGCGTCGGAGGATATCTTGTGACACAAGAGATTATCAGGAGAGTGGGATAAACGAAATGGTGTGTGCCGGTTAGTTGCCTTTCGACTTGTATCGCTAACAACTTTCTGGACTCTTCATAGCCAAAATCCCTATACCCACACATCGAACAACAACAAGCTCACATAAATCCAACAGCGATTCAGGTTGTGCGCTGCTTTCTCTTCCCGTACCACTATCACTGCCAGCTGACACTCTTCATGACATCTAGCCCGCTACACCACCGCCAGCGTCATTCGATGGCAGTTTCGATTTATTTAATACAGCTCATTTCAATGGAATCAACCTATCTGGACAGCAACAAGAATCATCTGTACCCAATTACCATGACCTCTACACACGTCTACGCTCGAATCCTTCAGGATCTACTACGAAATGCTATATCCCACCTGAAGGTGGCCCGAACACTAAAGGAATACTCCAGTCTCTTAACATTCGGGATCCTCTATCCAGCGACTATGTCCACCTGATCTACTTGGACGGCATCACCAAGACGCCCGCACGTACAAATGAGTCTCCGAGCGTCACCGCAACCTTACAGGTCTGCGGAAATGGTTTCATCTCTGATATCATCGATAGTTTCGGAGAATTCAGAATGAGACGGATTTGGGCGCAAATGAGTAGTGACGGGTCGCATCTGATGGAGCTGTTTGAGGCAAAAGTGTCGCTAAACATTTTCCATGGAGAGGAATACGAAGAACGTGGATGTGCGCCGGCCGTTGATTATCAGCTCGAGTTTTTGGGGTTGCGACAGACGGGAGATGAAAGATTTGGAGAGAAGGAGTTGAATGAAGCAGCTGTTCGTTGTATTTAAATATTTGCTTGAAACGACTAGGGCAAGATATATATTCGCGTCGTGGATGAAAAAGCTGGACTGGTACATCTCGGCTTACTTCCAATGCGGGGAATCGAACCCCGGGCTGCTGTGTACCTCGCAGGTGAAAGACTGAAAGACAGCAATGTTAGCCACTACACCACATTGGAGATGTTGAAACCTTCAATTCTCTCATGTTGATATGGCATCCACGGATAAACTTAGACTACCCTAGCTCGACGATGATGGCGGACTCTGTGTAACGAGTAGGTGCCTTTACCCTATAACCATCATATGGTGTCTGCTATGCGCTCTCTTATAAGAGGGATTCGGCCGCAATCCCTCCGCAGAGCAATGTCTTCCTCTTTACCCCCGTCGAATATCCCAATCTTCACCACTGTTGCCGCGTATAGGGAATGGCGGAGAGAAGCATTCTACGCGAAGAAATCTGTTGGATTCGTGCCGACAATGGGGGCACTACATGACGGGCATCTCAGTCTAGGTGCGGTTCTCGTAACTCTACAATGAAATCAAAGAATATTGATAATTCTTCTCATAATTTCACAGTGAGAAGATCACTTGCTGAAAACGATCTCACGGTTCTCTCGATATTCGTGAATCCGGCCCAATTCGCGCCACATGAAGACCTTGCAACTTATCCTAGAACTTTGCCTCGCGATTTAGAGCTTTTGGATGAGCAGAGTTATTCTATAGGCTCCCAAGTCCGCAAGGCATCAGCTGTATTCCTTCCGACCGTTCAGGAAATGTATCCTTCAGGTATCTCTCAGGTCGTCGCGGAACAAAAAGGAACGTTTGTCGAGGTGAAGGGATATAGTGAGGAAATGGAAGGAAAGAGCAGACCCACGTTCTTCAGAGGTGTCGCAACTGTGGTCACGAAACTGTTTAATGCAGTCGAGGTAAGAATATGCGTGTTAACAATTGGATATACTTCTCATGCGAATTCTGCATATAGCCAACAAATGCTTACTTTGGCCAAAAAGATATACAACAAGCGATACTACTCCGAAGACTCGTCACCGATCTCTTATGTTCCCATCCATCGCCAGAAAACCTTCACATCGTTCCTACCGCACGCGACCCTAGCACAGGTCTCGCCCTATCATCACGGAACACATATCTTTCACCTTCGGGGAGAAAGGTTGCACCAACACTGTACCAAGCCCTTTCCGCCGCTCAAGACGCGTGGGATCAAGGTCTCCCCAAAAAAGAATGTATCAAACGCGCTTCCAAGTGGTCGAGAAACGCAAAGCAGAGACAGACCCGAAGGATGTAGCTATGCGACTAGACTACATCGAGATGAACGACTCAAGAGATTTGACAGTGGTTCCTTCGGAAACAACCAAGGAATCAGTGGGAAACACGCCTATGATTCTTAGTGGCGCCCTGTTCGTGGATACGACACGTTTGATAGACAACCTGATCCTTGGAAGTGCGGGGGATATTGTTCATTAGCTTGGGATATGTCGTGTAAGTCGTTTACATTTGCGCCAACTGATGGTATGGGATATTGACTTTCGCGTCGTCTTGTAGCTTCAGCGTTGAGCGCTCCGAGCTGCATCTTGATCTACTCTACCTACAACTTCATGTGTTCGCATTCGCGCAGGGATTACACGTGGCGCAGTAGTTGCCCTCCCTTGTGCTCTTGCGGTACGAACGACCTCGATTCTGGATGAACACTTTTGGATACATGTAGAATCATTAACTACACCGCTACGGATTCAGTAGTGAAATCGACACAACTCTCGTACGTCTGCTTGACTTGGGTTCCATACCACCACCATCTGTAAACCAGTGCTTAGCTATAATGATAGAGGATGTATGGTTTGTGAGAGTACGAACTGGATGGCACAAGCTCCTGGGGCAGCACACTGGTTACCAAGATCTGGAATAGTAACCATGAAGTTCGCTGTGAAGGACGTTAATACCAGGGCGAAATCGTGGTAAACAATGCTTACTTTCATCCTCTGGGTACTCAGTCGGGCTGAGCGTATCATTGGCATATACATCCCATGTATAAAGTCGAGCGATTGGAGTTTGATTGGCAAGATCGATCTGGTGGCCTTTTAAGGCAAATGTAATGAAATACGAGGTGTGCCTTACCACAGAAACATTTGCAACCCCCGTGTGCCGAATAGAAAGATTGATTTTAAAGTTAACCTCGGAACCAGGAGAAAGGACACGAGTGTTGTTGACGTTGTCCTCATGCTAAGGAGTAAATACCATGAGATGACACCTCGGATCTTATGAGTACTGGAGGGTCCAACCTTATAGCCCCTGCACAGGAAGATGGCGCACTCCTCTGCGCTGTATCCATCATCTGCCTCTCGAAGACCATATTCGACCTAAGCTCCGGTCAGAGACGATCCAAAAGGGAGACCCCATGGGCTTCACGGTGCTGTTCTGTCTGGTACCCAAGAATATAGTGCGCATTAGTGGTTAGGCCTAACCTGATATATTGAACAGACTAACCGAGAGCGAACTCGTCTGTAACGCCCTTTCCACAAGCAGCTATGGCTGCTTGACCAAGCTAACATGCCAAACCTTGTTAGCAACATTCGAGGAGATATAATAAAACGTACTGCACGAGGCTCAGGGCTAGAAACATAGCCATGAGCAGCTACTCGAGCAGCGAGTGTAAGAACGAAGGTAGTGACTGCAAGCATGATATATGATCGGCTTATAGCTTCTCCATTGACCTGGAGCATCGTTTTATACTTGATAGAAGCGTGGCTCAGTAATGAGTCACTTGTGCAGGTGAACAAATGCCTCAACTACCGAAGCATTGGAGCAGAGAGAGAAAGTCGGCTGGATATCGCAGAGACTTCGGGTATGGATGGATGGGTGTTTCTGCAGCGAACATTCAGGAATAGGAGGACAAAGATTAAGTCGGGATCACCTTTGTTAGACTATATCTCTATACCTCGGTATTTCAGCTGCTACAGAGGAAACGAGTCATTGTAAGGCATTCGCAAAACGTCCTAGAGTCCCAGTATAGTACACCCGTAGTTCAATGTGGAGCATAATGAGATGGTATATTTCTTGCGGGGCCCGATATGATGGAAGCATCAACGAACAATACAAATATTCTTGAGAAAATTTTGTAGTTGCTGACCGTCCTACTCACGGCGGAGAATTAAGAGTAGTACCGTGATCGACTTCCGAGTCTGTATCATGAGCAAAATTGCCTTGGCTACAGGCAGCTTGACTCGGAGGCACTGAAATAATGGTGTGCAACTTCAAAGAGTTAAATAACCATGCTCACCGAGAAAATACACTTTCAAAGGTTCAGTAACGACAAGGGAGATGATGGTTTTGGTTACGTGGTTGAACAAGCCGGCGCTTAACAGACACTCCAAGGCGTTTAACCTTTTGTTTCTCACCATGACCACCATGACCACCTGTTGACCATTCCGTCTTAGCTCGATAGTTTCTAGTTGGACCTCCCACTTTTTCAGCGTTCCCAAAGGCAAGCGGAGGGGCGAGAAGTAAAAATGGTCTTTGTAGTGATCGTAACATGCCGCTTTCGGTGGGTCCTTTGATTCTTCAATTTGATTGAATCAACGTTCATCAGCTGCAAAAAGGAAATGCCTGTATTCCTGCGGCCAAAGTTCACCAAAGGCGGAACAGTCAAATTGCGGTATTCACAGAGCCCCGAGTCGGACAGCTTTGGCGGTCGCTGAACGTTCGTGGGCTTGGATAGGCTTGGATCGACTTGAAACTTATCCACTGCCAGTTCTACGGTCAAGTTACCGGAATCGACCTTTCCCGAATGTTCAGCCACTCCACGACCGGTCACGGATCGCGCAACACAAAACGGATTCATAACAAGGCTAACTCTTCTTCCTGGGGGACGGTAGCTTTCACCATCTGACGGGGTTAAAGGAAGTGAGGCAAAAAGTTGGGATGTCATAGAGTATTGCTCCGTGAAGGAACTAAGATTTTCCGACTTCTACGGGGGTGCGTATGGCTACCATTGTACCACATTTTTGCTTCACCGCGTCGGGCATAGCGAAGGCCTGAGACTGCCTTTAAAAAGGTGGACAGCGTTGCTCAAAGTCAGAACGTATTTGAGCTCATCTTTTCATACTTCAAGGCTACGGACTTCCCATTCAAAGCATCCTGCGGACGTGGCTGCAAAACTGACTCGTCAACTCATGGTTAAAGTATCCGGACGGATTCTCTTGCCCAGCCCAGCTAACTCTGCCTCTTCAAAATTTCATTCGCGGGGAATGACATAAAGTCGACAAGGCTATTCTCTTTTCCATTGGGTAGTTTCAAGAAACGGCTGCAAATTATCAAAGGTCAATTACTAGATCATCTCAAGGAATATCGGACTCCGAATCTGACAGAACGCATCTGGCTAAGCGACGCCCTCTTCAACTAGTCATTGTCCAGCCAAAGGATACTCTGGGGGTCATCGTCGTTCTTGTGAAGTGAGTAACATAGTTCAAAGTCAGAATGTACATATAATCATTATTCGAGGTCCAGCAAAATTCGCCGAGCTTCACACTGGCACACACTAAGTGGTGCCTGGTTGTTTCACGCCAGGTTATTCGCTGTTACTCATATTCTGCTGTTTATACACGTCACACGTGCACTGCTGAAATACCGTGAAGTCCACAACCTTTCTGGTCCTCATAAATGTGGGGTATAAAAGCAGGGCCTCATTCAAACAGAAAAGCAGCATTGCTCCCAACTCAGGCTCAGCGTACACTTAGTCGAAAGCGCCCAAGCCATCTTCACCACTATCATGCAATTCTACCAACTTCTCAACATCATTCTCCTCGCAACCTCTGGTGCCGTTTCTGGTACCATCCTTCCTCAGTGCCAGCGTCGTGAATCACGATGCCATCGCCAAACTTCCCGCCTCTGGTGGCCCCGACGAAACCCGATTCCAGCCTCAGCTCCACATCGGGAACGGCTGTTACTCTTACCCCGCCGTCGACGCCCAGGGCAACTGGTCTGGAGGCCTCAAACCCACCGGTGCGCCTAGTGCTGCATGCAAGGATACCTCCAAGGGGCAGACCTACGTCCGTTCCACCTCATACAAAGGCAAAACTGCCTTCGTCTACGCTTGGTACATGCCCAAGGATGAGATCTCCACCGGTATTGGTCATAGGCACGACTGGGAAGGTGCCGTTGTTTTCCT